CCTAATTGACGGCAACTGGTTTTGGTTTTGTTTTGTTTTTAAATGGTAATTCTATGTTTAACTCTTTGAGAAACTGCCAAACTGTTTTCCACAGCTCCTGAGCTATTTTACGTTTCCGGCAGCAGTGCAGGAGGGTTCCAATTTCTCTTTACCCTCCCCAATAACTTTTAAATTTCTGTTTTTCTGATAATAACCGTTCTATGGATGTGAGGTGGTATTTATCTCATTGTGGTTTTGATTTGCGTTTCCTATCGCGTGAGTCAAATTGACTCGACAACAGTGGGTTTGGTTGGTTTGTTTTTTGGTTTAATGACTAACGATGTTGAACATTTTTTCATATGCTTTATTGGCGATTTGTATATCTTCTTTGGAAAAATGTCTTGTTCAAGTCCTTTGTGCATTTTGTATTTCAGTTGTCTTTTTGTTGTTGAGTCGTAGGAGTTCTTTATATATTGTAGATATTAAACCTTTATCAGATACGTAGTTCCTAAATATTTTCTCCCATTCGGTAGGTTGTGTCTTTCTTGTTAGAGTCCTTTGATGCACAAAAAAATTTTCATTTTGGCGGAATCCAGTTTATCAGTTTTCTCTTTAGTTACTCTTGCTTTTGATGTTCCTTTGCCCTTTTTTAATTGGGTAGTTTATCTTTTTATTGAGTTGTAAGAATTCTTTATTCTAATATTAGACCCTTATCAGCTACGCAATTTGCAAATATTTTCTCCCATTCATTGGGGCTTTTTTTTTACTTTCCTGATGTGTTCTTTTTAGTTTTGATAAAGTCCTATTTATTTTTTTTCTTTTGTCACTTGTGCTTTGAGTGTCGTATCTAAGAAACCATTACCCAATCCAAGGTCGTGTACATTTAGTCCTATTTTTTTTTCCCCTAGGTGCTTTATACTTTTAGCTCTTACATTTACGTCTGTGATCCAAATTATACGGCGTGTATAATTTATGTATATAGAATTAGGCAATGATAGAACGTCATTCTTTTGCATTTGAATGTCAACTTTTCTTAGCACCATTTGCTTAAAAAACTGTTCTTTCCTCATTGAATTGTCTTGGTACCCTTGTTGAAATCAAGTGCCCATGAACTTATGGGTTTATTTCTGGACTTTCCAATCAGTTCTGTTGATCTACATGTCTGGGCCTTATACCAGTACCACACTATCTTGATTATCGTAGCTTTGTAGTAAGTTTTGGAATCAGAAGTGGGAGTCCCTTAACTTAATTTTTTTTTCATGATTGTTTTGGTTATTCTGGGTTTCTTGCATTTCCATGTGAATTTTAGGATTAGTTTATCAATTTCTGCCAAGAGGAAAAAACAGCGGGGATTTTGATAGGATGTTTTACAGTTTTGCATCTAAGTGTCTGATGTACAAAACAGCTTGATTCACATACATGCTTCTGAGTTCAACCTGTCACAGTATTGTTTTAGATGAGCTATATGAAGAAAATCCGTCCTTAACAGATGTATTGTTGGAAAAGGAGAAGTATCTTAATAGTTTTTTTTTTTTCCAGATAATTGTGGATGTTGTTCTTTGATACACACCAAAACTCCATAAGTGGTAGTTTTCTTAAAGGTTAGTTGCCACATGGAATCTGAAATCATCTTAATGAATTTTTCTTACTCTGTTAATGTTAAATGTCTTTAGCCTGTTTTGCACTTGGAATGGATCTTTTACCCATGCCCGATTTTGTAACATTCATTGGGAAATACTGGTTCGCTTTTATGCAGCTCTTCACATGTTAACCTATTTCAGGTATACAAATATTTTAAAAATCACATCTGTTAATGTTACCACCAGTTTCCTCAGAAAAGTCTTAAGTATTGAGAAGTTGTTAAACGCAGCATGAATAATATAAATTTTCCAAGCGTCTAATTTCCTCTTGAGAGCTAGAATTTTATCACTGGCTACAATCAGTTTTATTTGCAGTGACAGTCTTGTTTCTTTTATGTCTAAGAAAATGTCTGCCAGTACCCACATTTGAAATAGTAATAGTTTATATCAGTCATTCTTTCATGTAAAAATGGTGTTCCAGTGACTAATTGAGATCGTCGCTATGATAGCTGCATATATGCTTTTTTTGGAGATAACAGCCATCATAGTTTAGTATTTAGAAGTGCTTTGCGTATACTTCACATTTTGTCAAGCAGAGTATTAAAAAGACACATACTCAGGGTCATTTAATAAAATTAATGATTTTTACTGCTTTCTCAAGGACATTAAGTGAAAATGGAATTTTTTTTTTTTTTTTTTTTTACCGTTGAGTACATGGCAATGAAGAATACAAGGACTAACCAGTACAGTTTGTAACCACTGTGTTAATTCATGATAAGGGTGCTAGCAGTTTACTCTCATTAATGCAAATGTGAACATAATGAAAAAGACAGATATTTTAGTATTATTATGAAAATAGTTTTGTCCTCATGAACCCCCTGGTCTGCAGATGACACTTTGAGAACCATTAAACTATAGTATCTTGCTATACTGCTGCTTACTGCTGTGCAGAATTACATCCAGAGTGGCTGCATCCTAGACACTATCCAAAGAGATGTGTTCACTGCAGTCTTAAAAGGGCTTTCTAGGAGAGGCCATGTAAACATTATAAGAGACAGGGATGGTGGGGCAGGAAAGAACTCGGCATGGCTGAGAACTGAAGTGGAATGGCTAGAACATGAGGTAGGAGTAAGAGATGAAGTTGGAAAAGTAGTCAGGAGAGCTGGGTTATGCACGTCCGTGCAGGAACATAAGGAAATCATTCATTCTGAGTAGTAAGCAGTTACTGAAGGATTAGGATAATTATAACATCTAAATGTCTGTTGACTTGTCCTCTGAATGTGGTGCAGTTTTGGGTGAATCATCTTTTGACTAGGCGATGGTGAGGCTCCCAAAGATAATAGACCACCAAGGGTGGCAGCATACCTGGACCCGTATACTAATAATGTAGTTTTAGAATACCAGGATGAAAAGGAGAGGGAGTGATTACATAAGTAAAAATGGCAGTTTGTCACAAAATGAGAAACAGCCACTTCTACCTGTGATTATGTAAGTCGTAAGCGTACAACCCTTCTCTCTTAGCATAGGATTTAGAATAAGGGTTCCATAACTTTAATATTGTCCATGAGTGGGTTATACTTAGTTATTTAAATAAATCAGAACTTGATGTGTACATGATTGTGCAAGGTAAAAAGCATTATGAAATCTTCAGTGATCACACTTGGAAAGAACCTTTATACTTATTTCTGGTTTATTATGAAGTACCGAATTAAGTCTTAACAATTGCTCATTATAGTACTTACAGTCTGTCTTAATATGAAACTGCTGTCAGAATGCAAACCACTGAGTACCTTTAGCATGAATTGATTAATTTAGAAATAATAATATCTAAATTATATAGATAATAAATAAAACACAAAGGCTCTGAAATGATTGTTTTAGTATTTTAATATTCTTAAGTGTGCGTTGGGCTTGTGATTAAAAATATAAAATAAAAAAAGTTCCATGTAGCATATTGGGATTTGAAATCTAAATTTGTATTATGTTAGAACAGGAAGTACTAGAAGCATTGTGTTGAGCTCCGAGGCAATTTAAAGCAGGGTGATTTAAGGATACTGACAAAATTAACTCCCAGTTGTACTGCTTGCTTGATTTGTTTCTTTTTTTGTTGTCATTGTTATTGAGAATATTGAAGTTTGTGTCTTAACCATAATATAATTTAATTTTCTCTGTACCTTTCTCCTTACCCTTCCCATTTCTTTTTATCTTGTTCTTGTTTGGAAAAAGACTCCTCAGTGTTTCCTACAAGTAGAAATTGGCATTTTAACAAGATTTGTGATCCTGCTTTTTGCAAGATTAAATATTAAATGTTAGCTAGGTGTTTATATGTTAAATAATTTGTGACATTGGCTGAAAATACTGGCTTTTACAGTTCATTTAGTTTTATGAAAACTCTTATGTCTTAGATATAAGTACATCTGGCTGCTATTTTGCTAGTTTTAAAACCTAAATGACATCTGAAAATTAAAGAGAGTATTTTAAAATACAAGTTGTCTTTGTCGTTCATAATTTGTACAAGTGATTGAATAAAAACATAAATGGCAAAAATTTAACTGTGGCTAACATCAGCATGGAGGAGGGTTCAAAATGACCTTGACAAACCATACACGCCAAGATAAAATTTAACACTTCATAGCCTCAGCAGATTTTCAGAGGAGTCCCTGGGTAGTGGTGGACTACTAACCGAGAGGTTGGTGGTTCAGACCCACCCAGAGGCACTTGAGAAGTAAGGCCTGGCAGTCCGCTTATGAAAGGTCACAGCCTTAAAAACCCTATGGAGCAGTTCTACTCTGCACACATGGGGTCGCCATAAGTCAGAATAGGGCAATTAACAATAAATTTCAAACACCTCTGGTAAGAAATTCCTTCAGTGTGGTATGCAGTCATGCACCACATAAGGTCAGTTTGGGCAGCGTCTGAGTGCATATGTCCATGGTCCCATAAGGTTATAATAGAGTTCGGAAGTCCTGATCAGAGAATGGGATGTAGCGAATGTAACCGAATGTAGTGAACGCAACCGCTTCCCACACAAAATACGTGTATCTCATGTCTTTTGTATACAAAATGATTATCATGCAAGGCATATAATGGTACAGTACATATATAATCTATAACACACGTCTTTGATAGTCATAATAAACGCCTGTGTTACTGGCTTATGCATGTACTGTACTGTACTGTTATTTTAATGTGAACTTTCCGTACTTAAAGAGTTTACCATATAATAGTGTATACTGTATATTGGAGCCCTGCTGGCACAGTGGTTAAGAGCTCAGGCTGCTAACCAAAAGGTCGGCAGTTCATATCCACCAACTGCTTGCTCCTTGGAAACTCTATGGGGCAATTCTTCCTTGTCCTATAGGGTCGCTATGAGTCAGAATCGACTCACTGGCAACAGGTTTGTTTTTTTTTTTTTAATAGTAGTGTATGCTTCTACTCATAGGCAGCAGCATCCAGCCTTGTGTATTACGTGTCTCTTGAGTGTTGTAACGTTGTCTCTGTGTTTAATTTTCTTTCAAAAATAATCACTATGAAGTGCATCATGGCTCCCAAACATAGCAAAACCAGTACTAGTGCTAGCAGCAGCAAGAGGCAAAGGAGAAGTATCAATTTGGAAGCGAAACAAAAGGTATCCCATGTAGCTTTGCTAGGTATATAATATGGTGTTCCCACAAATCCCAAATCACATAATGTCCTGTTTCGTAGAATGTATCATGATTGTTAAGCGATGCATGACTGTACTGAATTTCTGACCTGGCTTGGCAGGAATGCCTGATACTAGTACAGTGAAACCTGAGAGTCGGAACCCAACGAGACTCCCTTATTTTCTCGGGTCTCGCAAGTTTTCCCCCTTTGACGGGGTACGGTCTTAACCACTTTTGTATCACTTGTTTTAGTGGAAAATATTTGAGTTTTCCTTCTCTGACAGGTTTCAGCTTTATACAGTTCTGGCTCTTGCATGTTTTACTGTATATGAGACCTATGCAAAGATTTTGGACCGGAACATCACTAAGGTTATTACTGAAGAGAAAAGAGGACTACAAACATTCAAGCTACAGATATAAAGTCTTATGTTTACATTTCATGAAAATCACTTGTGTGATACAAGTTGCGAGATGTGGATTAATTTCCTGGGGAGTTTAGTTGACCATGGGTCGCCATGAGTTGGAATCAACTCAGCGGCAACTGGTTTGTTTCCTTTTTTTTTTTTTTTGGTGTTTTCATTGTGAACCAGCACAGCCAAACTCTGAACCACAGATAGAGCATTGTCTATGGTTCTGTGTGTCATGTGTTGAGGAACACTGCCAGCCAAGAGTAGAGGGAGTTCATGAGCTCCTGAGATTGTGTACATTTGGGGGGTGGGGGGAAGAGTCCAAGCCTTTATCTGGTATCCAGAGGGATTTCGGTCCCCTAAAAGACTGAATCACGGAAACTGTTGGCTGAAGAGGACACTGATTTTTAAAGTGGTATGTGTTAGTCAAAAAAGTGTTCATTAAATATTTGAAGAAATTAAGTCTACTAAGTACTTAGTCACAAAGGCTAAGGCAGTCATGATTCCTGTCCTCAAGGAACTTCAGTCTAGAGAGAGAGACACAGTAAACAAATACTAATTAACAATAATAGTAAGTGTTGATGTTTTAAAAGCATTTATTGGTGTGAGACAGCTTTAAATACTCTACATGTATGAACTCTCTTTTAATACCCTCAAACTCTATGGGGGTGGTAGGTACTATTACTATGCCTATTTTGCAGAAAAGGACACCAGGGCACAAAAAAGGCCAAGTGACTTGCCAAATAGTTAATAATTGGCAGAGCCGTGATTTGAGCTCTGGTAGTGGTTCCAGAGCCTGCACTCTTTAATCCTCCACTATGTAAATTATTTAAATACAGTTGGGATAAGTGCTTTAAGAAAAATAATCAAAAGGAGAGCTAATTTATGGTTTGGGTGATGGAAGAATTGTCTCCAAGGAACTGTTACTAAAGCTGGAATTAGCCAACTAACGGGTGGCAAGAGTGGGGGGTAGGGAAAGGAGGCCAGAGAGAATTATAATAGAAGGGAAAAACATATGCAGAACTCCTAAAGGATGAGAAGGAGCTTGCCACATTCAGGGAACAGAAAGAAAGCAGTGTGGCTGGAACTAATGAATGAGGACGAGAAGGGTAAGATGTGAGGTAGACGACTTTGGGACTTATCTGTGTGCCTAATGTCTATCAAGCACAGCCTCGTAGGCCGTGTTGAAAATTTCAGACTTTTCTCTAGAAACAGTGGGAAATCACTCAAGGCTTTTAAGTGAAACCTTCATTTGATCACTGAATAAATGAGATGACTTTTATTGGCAAACATTTTCTGTAAAAGGCCAGTTAGTAAATATGTTAGATTTTGCAGGCCATTACGGTCTCTGGCACCTACTCAGTTCTGCTTTTGTAGCATGAAAGCAGCCATAGACAACATGTAAACGAATGAGTGTAGCTGTGTTCCAGTAAACGTTTATTTATAGACGTTGAGATTTGAATTCCGTATGATTTACACGCGTCACGAAATAGTCTTCTGATTTTTTTCAACTATTTAAAGATGTAAAAATCATTCTGTGCTAGTAGACTTGATTCTTCATGTTACACTTTTGTTTTTTTCCTTTTGTTTTCCTCAGTGGAATATATCTGGTAACACAGTGCTTGGCAGTAGTAGTCACCCAGTAAGTATTTGAATGAAGGAGAAATTTTATGAACCAATTTCACTTAGTTGTTCTCCATTTTGTCTTTGTCATTTGATAATAATTGCATCTTAATATTTACCCTCTTTTATTTTTTCTTCCAGTATCTATTTTTAAAAATTAGGGAGGGAATGTGAGAAAGAATGAGATGGTGTCAACCTTGCATAACTCGTAGGAGCAAGTGAGATAATGTACATGAAAATTTTGTAAACTGAAACAGTATCTCTTGTAGGTTCTGGTAGATAGTTAAAATTCGGATTATCTTTATCATGTCCTTATCTGACCCTATATATGATGGAGGTGTGAGAATGGGTATGCACATTAGAATCAGCATGAGCACTTTTTCCAAAACACCAACTCCTTATGTACCCCTCTGTGATGAAATGAGTTCCTTTATGTGGCCTTTTGCCTGGGTTCTTCAGAAAAACAACTTGACATATTTTCCCCCTACGCCCTAAGGAGTTACCTTTGCCCTAGTTTTCTACCCCCAAGGATTTGTTACTTTTGTCCATTTTGCTTTTTGACATTCCTGGTTAAGCTGTAAACAACTGGATGGTTTGATACTGTCTGGATGGAGGCCAGCCTGCTCTATGATTGGTCTGTTTATGCACCTTTCAGGGACTGGTCAATGTATTATAGACTATGCAAATGAAGTGACTATGTTCAGCTGAGGAGATTGGTCAGTTCATGGCCCTGATGGGCGGGCCATGCCTTGAAATTGACAAAAAGTTTGCTTATATATGCAGCAAACTCCACAGAGATTTCAGAGAATGAAAAGAAAGTAAAAGGCAAGAGAGGCAAGAAGAAAGAAGAAGCAGAGGCGAGTAACTTCCTAAAAGAGTTGTAACACAGATCAAAGGCTGTAACATTGAAGACAGAGGCCTGGAAGAGGCCGTGCAGTAGAGCCGGCTGTGACAGGCTCAGAGGGACCCTGGGACAGAGTTGGTGACAGACCCTCAAGGGGCCCTGTGGAAGAGTCGGTGGTGAAGGCAGAAACCTGCTAGGAAGGCAGCTTAGAGAGATGAACAAAGCTGCTACACTGGCTATGAGCTGGGTCAGTTAACAGTGGAGAGGCTGATGGCAGGGAGGCCAAAGGCCTAGAGGCCTGCACGACTGAGATGCGGCATGCAAAGCCAAGAGGAGGCCTGAGGTGACTGAAAGGAGGCCTGCACGGCTGAGAAGGGGGTGTGCAGGTCCGAGAGGCCTTTCCTTAGGGTGCTGAGAGGAAGACTGTCCTGAGGAGACTGAGAGGAGGACTGCGTGGCCAAGTGGGGGCATGCATGACAGAGAGAAGGGCCTGCTTGCTTGCACGGTTGAGAAGAGCTAGGAGAGCTGTCCTGCACTAAAGAAGGGAGAGGTGTGCTTTTTACTTTTGGGGCAGCCTTTCAGACTTTGCCTTCTACATGCTTCCTGATCCTGATCCCATGTAGCCTGATGATCCTGATCCTGAGTTGTATCCTGTTACTTCCTTAATAATCCACTTAACTGGAAGTAACAGTTTGTGGGTTCTGTGAGACGTCGCAGGGAGTTGCCAAACCCAAACCGGAGAGGAGGAATGCTGAGGGGAGGGGAAGTGGCTGGTGTTGGAGATCGAGTAATACAGCATCTTGGAGAATTTGGAAATCTGAGATATATATTTGACCTCTGCCTCATAGGCATTGACTTAATGCTGATTCCTGTATTTGAAATTATTCATGCATTCTCTTTTAAAGTTAGAATGGTGAAGTAAGTTTTTTGTTTTCTTTTTAACAAAAAGATCCCCCCCCCCGCCGAAAGACAACAGCAACTAATCCTACCACTAACTGAACTACACTTTTTAAAAAAAAATATTGTGTTTTAGGTGAAAGTTTACACAGCAAATTAGATTCCCATTCAACAATTCATACACAAATTGTTACATGACGTTGCTTGCAGTCCCTGCAATGTGTCAGCATTCTCAACCCTTTTATCCCACCTGCATCATTCCTATCTATCCAGTTTCCCTACTCCTCCTTGCCTTCTCATCTTCGCTTTTGGGTGAGTGTAGACTGATTGGTCTCCTGTAGTTGATTTTTTAAAGGAGCACATTCCTCACAGGTGTTCTTGTTTATTTTATAGGCCAGTGTATTATTTGGCTGAAAGGTGAACTTCGGGTGAACTACACGTTTTTACTCAAATGGATATGAGAGAGACCTTATGGAGAGGACTCATGGAAGGGAGAAGGCTCAGCCTTCCCAGATGAGTGTAGCCCCTAGTCAACCCACCAGCTGAAGGCAGCATAAGGAATGACTGCAAGCAAGACCAGCCGAGCTGAGCCAAGCCTTAATTGTAGAATCATGAGCAAATAAAATGTTTGTTGATTTAAGCCATGTGGTAGTTTGTTATGCAGCGATGGATGTTAAAGGTAATGCAAACTCAAAGAAGTTGAACCCCATGAGGTTTATTCTGAAGTTATTCTGTATGCATATAGGAGACCATTCTGATTCCCCCAAAAAGCAAATGGCTCTAAGTAAGCTGGTTACAATGAGGCTTATAAAGAGAAGAGGTAGTATAGAAGATCAACCATTGGCTAATCTTAATTGACTGAACCCTGGCCTCCCCCTTTTACTGACATCAGGTGGTACCCAGTCACAAGGTGGGCTCTGGCTCTCTACCTATCTGCAGCCATGATATAGTTTGAAGTTTAAATTAAGTAAGCCTGGCTTCAAACAACAGGGCCTTGGTGGTGCAGTGGTTAAGCTTTTTGGCTGTTAACCAAAAGGTCGGCAGTTCGAATCCAGCAGCTGCTCCTTGGAAACCCTATGGGGCAGTTCTGCTCTGCCCTGTAGGATCACTGTGAGTCGGATTGACTTGACGACAACTGGTTTTTTTTTTTTTTTTTTTGCTTCAAACAGGAAAGAAAAAGTTTAGCAACTTCGGGTGAAAAAAAGTTGCTGACAAGATTTAGGCAGAAAGTTTTATGGTTAATATTTGGTTTTGTAAGAAAAACCCTAAAATCAAAGTAAGATGTCTGTTACTAATTTTTCTCTTTGACATTGTAAACAGTCTGTAATTTTTTGTGTTTTGGAGGTGTGTGTGCACATGGGCTCATATTTCTTTATGTTTTTATGTTATGGTGAGGCTTTATCTGAAGTAGTTATTTTATACCATCTTCTTAAATTTCAGATTAATTTATCACATATAATTATGAAAATGCTTGTTTCCTAAGCTGATTATTTCTGTCTTAAGAGAGGTTACTAACAATAGTACTATTACTAATATTTATTGAGCATTTATTGCATATCAGATATTCTATGTGTATTTTTCGTTTAATCTTCATAGCCAGTTTATAAAGTAAATACTATTATCTCCATTTTGCAGATGAGGAAATGCTCAGCAAAATTACTGAAAGTCACATGACTAATAATCACTATGCTATACTGCTTAGTAAAAAATAGTAAATGCCTTTCTTTTTTCCCCTTCGATACTTTTTTTTTTTTTTTTTGAAACCCTGGTAGCGTAGTGGTTAAGAGTTCGGCTGCTAACCAAAAGGTCGGCAGTTCAGGTCTGCCAGGAGCTCCTTGGAAACCCTGTGGACCAGTTCTCTTCTGTCCTATAGGGTCACTATGAGTTGGAATCCACTTGATGGCAACAGGTTTGGTTTTAGTTTTTGGTTATGTTGTTGAGCATCTTTTCACATACCTATTGAGTATTCATATATCTTCTTTTGTGAATTGTTGAAGTCTTTTGTCTGTTATTGTGTTCTTTTTATTGAGTTTATATATTCTGAATATAAGTCTTTTTTCAGATATATATATTGTGAATATTTTCTTCTAGTCTGTGACTTCCATTTTCATTTTCCTGACAGTGTATTTCAAAGAACAGAAATTTGTGATTTTGGTGAAGCCCAGTGTCTTAGTTTCTCAGTGTGTTGGTATAACAGAAATACCACAAGTGGGTGGCTTTGAAATGAGCAGAAACTTATTTTCTCACAGTTTAGGAAGCTAGAAGTCTGAATTCAGGGTGCTGGCTCTAGGGGAAGGCTTTCTGTCTCTGTTGGCTCTAGGGGGAAAGTCTTTGTATCTTTTCAGCTTCTGTTCCTAGGTTCCTTAGCAACCTTCATGTGGTGTGGTATCTATCTTCCCCCTTCTGTGATTGCTTTAAGACACACCCTACGCTGATACGGTCTTGTTAACACAACAAAACCCTATTCCAAAATAGGATTATATTGACGTGTATAACGATTAGGATTCCAAACCATATTTTGGGGGGACAAAATTCAATCGACAACACTCATTTTGTCAATTTTTTTGTTTGTAGTTTGTGTATTTTGTATCATATGTAAGAAATCTTTGCCCACCTAAGGATCATGATTTTCTCATATGCTTTTTTTCTAGAGGTTTTATAGCTTTAGCTTTTTAAGTTTGGGTCTGTGATCCATTTTTAGTTAATTTTTGTTTGTGGTGTGAGGTGAGGATTAGGAGTCATTTTTTCAAAATTTTATCCTTTTTGGTATACGGCTCAATGAGTTTTAACAAACACATGCAGTCATATAACCACAGCCACAAACAGGATATAGGACAGTTCTATCCTGATGATGTGTCCAAAGTAAGAAGTCGAAATCTCACCACCCGTGTTTCTAAGGAACAGTGGTTGTATTTCTTTTACGACTGATTTGTTTATTTTGGTGGTCCACAATATATTCAAAATTCTTCACCAACACCACAGTTTGAGTGCATCAGTTCTTCTTTCATTATCTAACTTTTGCATGCATATGAGGCAATTGAAAAGACCATGGCTTGGGACAGACGCACCTTAGTCATCAAAGTGTGACAACGTTGCTTTTTAACGCTTTAAAGAGGTCTTTTGCAGTAGGTTTGCCCAGTGCAATCTGTCGTTTGAATTCTTGATTGCTGCTTCCATGGGTGTTGATTCTCGATCCAAGTAGAATGAAATCACTGACAACTTCAGTTTCTTCTCCATTTGTCATGCTGTTTATCGGTCCACTTGTGAGGATTTTCATTTTCTTTACATTTAGGCTTAATTCATACCGAAGGTCTTTGACCTTCATCAGTAGTGTTTCAAGTTGTCTTCATTGTTAGCAGGCAAGGTTGTATCATCTGCATATTGCAGGATGTTAATGAGTCTTTCTCCAATCCTGATGCTATGATCTTCATATAGTCCAGCTTCTCAGATTATTTGTTCAGCATACAGATTGAATGAGTAAGAATACAACTCTGCTGCATACCTTTTCCAGTTTTGAACCATCCCCTTGTTCTGTTTGAATGACTGCCTCTCTATGCATGTACGGATTCCATGTGAGCACAATTAAGTGTTCTGAAATTCCTATTCTTTGCACTGTTATCCATAATTTGTTATGATCTACACAGGCAAATGCTTTCGCACAGTCAATAAAAGTCAGGTAAACATCTTTCTGGTATTCTCTGCTTTCAGCCAAGATCCATCTGATGTAAGTGGTGATATCCCTCATTCCATGTCGTCCTCTGAATCCAGCTTGAATTCCTCGCAGTTCCCTGTTGATGTATGGCTGCAGTTGTTTTTGAATTATCTTCAGAATTTTGCTAGCGTGTGATGTTAATGATATTGTTCGATAATTTCTGTATTCCATTTGATTGCTTTTCTTTGGAATGGGCAGGAATATGGGTCTCTGCCAGTTGGTTGGAAAATCCTATGAATCAATAAACATACCAAAACCCGTTGCCGTCAAAATTGTTTCTGACTCTTAGCAACCTCATAGGACAGAGTAGAACTGCCCCACAGGGTTTCCAAGGAGCAGCTGGTAGATTCGAATTGCCAACCTTTTGGTTAGCAGCTGAGCTCTTAACCACTGTACCACCAGGGCTCATCAGTAAACATATGTGTTTGTAAAAGGAATAGGCATCAGAGATGCCTGTTAGGAATTTGAGTGATCCTTATAAGAAGATCATGAATCTTAATGTTCTGTTATAATAATCTACCAGCTATCTGTCTATTTGTTGTACTGTGGTGGCTTACATGTTACTGTGATGCTGGACGCTATTGCACCGGCGATTTATTCCAAATACCAGCAGGGTCACTCATGGTGTACAGGTTTCAGTGGTGCTTCCAGACTAAGATGAGGAAGAAAGGCCTATCTACTTGAGAAAATTAGCCAGTGAAAACCTTATGGATCACAACAGAACATTATCTGACTTACTTGCTTCAGACTTGTCAGAAGGGATCAATCGCTGAAGGAAGAGATCATCTTTGGTGAAGTAGAGCACCAGCAAGGGCAAGGGAGACCTTTGGTGAGATTGATTGTCACAATAGCTGCAGCAGTGGACTCGAACATGCCGGCAATCATGAGGAAGGTGCAGGAACAGGCAACTTTTGTTCATTTGTACATAAGATTGCCGTGAGTTGGAGTCAACTTGTCAGCAGCTATCTCTGTGTATTGTAATAATGCAGTTAATAATATTGTAATCAATCGGGATGCTTTTGACTGCAAATTAACTTTACTCATACTGGCTTAAAGGAGCCCTGTGGCACGGTGATTAAAGCCCTTGGCTGCTCACCGAAAAGGTTGGCAGTTTGAACCCACCAGCCGCTCCACGGGAAAAACGTGGCGGCCAGCTTCCATAAAGATTACAGCCTGAGAAAGCCTGTAGGGGCACTTCTACTCTGCCATATGGGGTTGCTTTGAATCGGAATCAACTCCACAGCAACAGGTTATACTGGAGTAAACAGTAAGGCCTTATTAACTCACATAATGGAAAACTAGAGATTGAGTGCTTGACCAACTCAAGGACACAGGTTGTTTCCATCTCTATATTCTGCCATCCTTGACATTGGCTTAAGGCAGTGCTTTTCAAATTTTGGGTACATTAGAATAACCTGGGGGGCTTTTAAAAGTCCCCATGCACAAGGAGGATATTATGCAGATTGAAATAAGTCAGTCACAAAAAGATAAATAATGTTTGCTCTCACTATTTTCAAAAAAACAAGAATTGTTCCTGCCGTCGAGACGATTCCGACTCATAGCGACCCTATGTACAACAGAATGAAACACTGCCCATTCCTGCACCATCCTCACAATCCTTGCTATGTTTTGAACCCATTGTTGCAGCCACTGTGTCAGTCCATCTCCTTGGGGGTCTTCCTCTTTTTCACCAACCCTCTACTTTACCAAGCATAATGTCCTCCAGAGATTGGTCCTTCCTGATAACATCTCCAAAGTACACAAGATGAGTCTTGCCATCCTCTCTTCTAAGGATTCTGGCTGTACTTCTTTCAAGAAAGCTTTGTTCCTTCTTCTGGCAGTCAGTGGTATATTCAATATTCTTTGCCAACACTACCGTTGAAAGGAATCAAGTCTTCTTCAATCTTGGTTATTCATTGTCCAGTTTCCACATGCATATGAGTTGATTGAAAATGCCTTGGCTTAGA